GAAGAGTGAACAACTCTGGAAATTAGGCAGATTGCCTACACTTATGTACTTTTTTTAATGGTTGTGAATGCGACTGTGGTGAATGGTGAGAAAGTGAAGGAGATAGTGGGTTAGTGTGTGAGATTGGTGGTCTTGAACAATGGTGGTATATTTGGGCTTGGTAGTTGGGTGACCAACTTAATTGAGTTTTCTATTAATTGTTGTATTCTTCAACACTCGAAAAATAGATCCATGCCATAGTGAGAAACAAGTTTTATTGATTAAATTGGGGATTGTTTGTGGTCTCCATAATGGAAGATTTTATGGTTATGTTATATATATACACATGAATAGCGTTTGATTTTATTTGGATTAACCGTATTTCTTTTGCACATCACTAAGTGAACTCTTCCTCGGTAATAAAGCAAATTGAATGGAATACTATATTATGTTTTGATTGGGAGCATTATAAATTTAAATTGGGTAAATGGCATATTAATTTGGGACTTGGAACTTGGTTGAAAAAAGACACGAAAGAGGATGAAAGATGTGGCAAAGAAATGCAAAAAATGGGATGTGACACTCTACACGGTATTACCTCCAATGGTATTAGAGAGGATAAATGAATTTATACTTAATAAATCACGCTAATTCAGCATAATTAACCTTTTGAGAATTTGGGTGGGACACTCTACATAGTAGCCTCTAGTAAGAATGATAGTGGTTAGATTGATAGTGGTTGGGTGATGTGTTAGCATTTTTGCTGTTGCTAGTTATCGGTTGTTTGTGCTAGGGAAATGCTCTTTTGCTTTTGTACTTTTCTGTTATATCTGTTTTTGAATTTTATTTTGCTTATCACAAAAATAAAATGCTAGATTTTAATATTACTACTGATCTAAGTCTTTCATTTCGTACTTGAAGTCTAATCTATGTGACTACTCTATTTGTAACTGAAAAAAATAATAGAAAAAAGGGATTATTGAATAAATTTGAAAATGTAAATTTTGAAATAAATATTATGTGATTCTACTTGAATGGCATGAATTAATTAATAAGCGAAGAGGAGTATTCATATAATGATAGTGTTATTATCTTTGTTATGCATATATCTTCTTAGAAATTGAGAGTAGTTTTTTTATTAATTTTGCAGGTTTCAAGATGGTTTTTTTTCGCGTAAGACATTTGATTAGTTTTTTAGTTAGAAATAGAGATTATTGTACGTTGACTGCATTTGAGATTAGTTTGAGAACCCAATTTGAAGAACAACATTTACCCTACCTCCGTACCTTGTATAGATTGCAATCAAAATTGGCACGACCCATATACATTTCCGTGAAGGAGTATATGGATATATTTTTGAAATTGGGTCCGCATGAGTACTGTCATTTTGAGAAATTTATTAAAGATAAGACAATTAAGGTGTCGAGTATGATTAATACTCCACTATTGGAACAACCTATTGGTAGGGCTGTTTGGATTCCTCCTCCTGTGGATTGGATTAAAATCAATTCAAATGCGTCATTCATCAAGATAGGTGGGATTGTTTATGCGGCAGCGGGGGTGGATTTCCGAGATCATTTGGGTACGATCAAAGCTATGCATGCTATACCACTCAGAGGTGTATGCGACAGCTA